TAGAGATTAGAGACATGGAGTATAGGCTCAAAAAATCCTTGTGCTGTATCATAGTTTCCTAACCTGGAATCCTCAAAAATTAGCAGTATCTCTTTCAGAATCGATGTGAGAATTAATAGATGATACCTCTATAAGGTCTTGCATAGTATCAACAATAAAGCAAATATAACTATTTATTCTGTAATGGATACTCACATGGAGTGAACAGGAACTTACCTCATCTTGCGTCAAAGTTCATCATGAGTAGAGATGCTTTTTGTTAGTTGAATTTGATGACCAAGGGGCACAGTGGCTAGATAGGAACACAGCTATAGAGACAGACAGATCTGTCTTGCCAACAAGGTCTTCCATGGACTAACTCTATGAACATGTGTGAATTATCTCATCTCTCTAGGCTTCATTTCCTCATTTAGAAAATTGAGAAAATACTTTCTTCACAAGGTAGAAAGAATGAAATACCATATTGTCTGTAACTGCTTTGGGGAGTTCCTTTTAAGTATCCCCTTCCCGAATGAAAGCTGTCACTCATATAATGATAATGTGTGTCTCTCATTGCCTTAACTAAAGTCCTCTTGTTCAACAGAATATTAGAGTGATGACATCTAAGGCCCTTCTATCTCGCCCTGAAAAGTTGTCTTGTCAATATAAACACAGATGTTGATTTAGAAGCAACTTAAAGATAATTTATTTGCTTTTCCTATGGTGTCTTAGAGGTCAGGCAGATCTTTCTCCCTACTTGAATCTTGTTAGATTTGGGTTTCTTTTTCTATTTAGAGTTTAGCCATAGACCAACATTTAAAGTTTACATTAGGGTATTTTAAGATTTTCCATATTTCCTTTAAAATACAGTAACTTTTAGATCAGGCATATAACCCTAAGACACAAAATCATGTAATAAGGGTGTCCCTGTGGTCAGGCTTTCACTAGATTTTTCCTCAGTAACAATCACTTCCAAGAATCCAGTGACAACCAGTTTTTTTGTCGTTTGTGTTGCAAGTCAGCTTTGGCTCAGCTACAGCTCACCTGCAGGTGCCTCCCTCTCCCCATTCCCCAGAAGAAGGAACAGCCCATCTGAAACCACCTGAGACCCTGCCACAAGTCTGACACCTCTGTTCAGGTGTGGCGTGAGTCACTTCAGCTCACACCCTATTAGCCAACGCAGTCACATGACTACATCTGACAAAAAGGATGAAAACAGATTGCCCACCCGTTCACCCCTAGGAACAGGGAAGTGTTCCTTGTAGATGGACCCAGCAGAGAAAAGCACAAACACCTGGAAGCCACAATCGGTTACAACAACCAACAATGACCCTAGCTTTGTCAGTTAGGATCCATGTTCTTAACATCAAAACACAGAGCAAGATAGAAGAAACTCAGTAGCAAATTTCCCATCATCTCAGCTGGTGCTTCCCTTCAGATCATTAAGATCCTTGTGGACAAGAAGGAACAATTCCACAGCTTCCCAGAAGCTGTCATTCCTCTCAGCCATCTCAGTCCTCAATGGACTGATGGGAAAAATGGGTTTGCAGAAGAAAAGAGTCATTTCCTCGACAGAGAAGAACCAAAGAGCCACCCTTCAGAATCTGCTGAGAGTCAACTTTGTCCACATTCTTGTTTTTCGGTAGACATGCCCATTTCTGAGGCCACCTGGGCAAAGTCAACCATGTCCTCAGCTGACAAGGATGGAGTTGATGACTGCATTAAGAACAGTCAGACCAGCCACTGAAGAGAGCTGTAGACTGCTTTGAAGGGCAGGGAAGAGTATGGCATGAGGCCAGAGCCAAAGGTCCCAGCACATGTATTTGTGTGGTCACAGTCACAGGATCCAAAGAAAGGAGAGCCAAGCCTCATGGATTTTATTTTCAAATATTTTTAAACCTTTTGAGTTCAGTGAACCCCAAGTACATTCTTGTCGAGCATTTCTTTTTTCTACTTACTAGTTAAACCCATGGTTCCTTAAAGTGAAATTTCATCCAGGTATTTTAGATTCATAGCCAAGAGACAGATCATGCAAAAACTGTTTTGTTAGAAATACTTGATGTCCAAGAAAACTTTTGAAGCAACTTTTCTTACAAACAAAAAGCTGTTTTGATAGAGCTTTAAAGTCAGGTCGCCTTAAATTGCAATTCTGGAAATCCAAAGTTAGAGTTTGATTTGGATTTCATTACTTCATGCCTCCCTACCCCTTTGCAAGTAGGTGGGATAACGTCACTTGAGCTTTGGCTGACAAGCTCGGCTGCCTCCCTATTTTCTTATTAGCAATTTTTCTGTAGATGGAAGATAGTTATATTTTTGCCTACCAGGGAACACAGAATGATTTTTTTTTTATCATGATGGGCAAATTAAAAACTCCCAAAATTTGACTCAACAGAGCACTAAGTTTTTAGAAGGAATCAGTGGGTTGTACCAACTAGGAGCGGGGAATCATTCTTTAATGTTTTAAAAAATCAATACTTACCACTGACCCACTAGGTAGTTGGCATTCACCTATGAGGATGGTAGAGACAGGACATTTCTGAAAGTGAACAACCAGACGTTTTCAGTACCTATGTGCAACAGTGTTATTTTAGAATGCTCGGGGACAATGAGGGGACAAGGGTTCTTCTCAAGAGGGGAAAATCTCTTGATATTATTTGAGTCGTATATCACAGTGTGGTAGTTTTCAGTGTGTGTGTTCCTGGAGCAGCAGCACCACCTGCAAGCTGTTAGATGTGCAAGTTCTTGGGATCCGTCCCAAACCTACTGAAATGAGAAACTCTGACCCTTCCCGGTGATTCTGATTTAGCTGAAGCTTCAGCACTTTCTCAAGGGGGCAGAGAGTTCAGGCATGGGGGCTTCACAGGGGCACTGCTACCACATGCCAGCTGTTAAGAGCCTGGGTGAGTCGCTTAACCTCTTGGTGCCTGTGTTTTCCTCATGGGGTTAGCGATGGCATTTGCTTCTTGCAGTTGGCATGAGGGTTAATTAAGTTTGTGCATGGAGGGCACTGAGTACAATGGCTGCACACGGTGTTGTAGGCTTATCTATTGATGATGATGATGATAATTATAATATCTCAATCTTTATTTTGTTATTGTCATTGTTATTATTCATCTGTATCCTTCCCACATTGGACCACTTCCAACTCTATTCTGACTCTATTCATGATTATTTGCATGCATATTTCTTCTAATTGGTCAGTGGCTTTCTGGGTCATTTGTTGATTGATTTCTGCCTGATAGGACAGAATGTCCCAGGTCAATGTGGCTGATTTCTTTGATCATCCATTCTCATAGGACCCTCTTGCTTTGGTAGAATTTTTCCTCTCTGAGGAAATGATGGGAACTCCCTTTCATTTTTCTATTCTCACTGTTTTGTCCCCAAGACTGGAAGTATAATTCTTCATATAGCTAAATACCCTTTTCAATGTACCTACTGTTTAGATCTGTTTCAAAACTATGTTTTCCTTTCCTTTATCTCCAGAAAACAAATGCTCCACAGAACAGGCAATAAATGACTTCATTCTCTGTGTGTGTGTGTGTGTGTGTGTGTGTGTGTTATTGGCTTGAAGTAGGAGAGGAATGTTGACCTCTCCATTCAGTAGTTTCAAGGACTTCACTGTAATACAGATATCACCGTTCTAAGATTACAATCGCACCCACAGGTTGGAACAATATAGTGAAAACTGGAGAAATAAATACAATATCCAGAGGGTAAAGAAAACTACACTGGCTTGTATGGAATAGTGCTTATTTGTGGGATTAGGACAGGGGAATTTAGAGGAGAATATCTTTCAGTGTTCTTTCTATCCTTTGCTTTTGAAAGCTGCTCTTATTTCTTAACATTTTAGAAGTGAACCCAGGTAGATTGCAGAATCACTAAGGAAAACAATCCAAGGCAGCGACATAAAGTTATATGAAATGAATGTGGTGTGAACAATGAAATGGACTTCATGAAGGAAGTCTGCTGCAGAACGTAATACTGTACCTTCAGAGCGTATGATGAAATGTAAATAATAACACATATAGGTAAGATTGATGGGTACAAAGAAGTCCATGCTGGGTCTTCACAGATGGTGATTACCATGGTAATAGATGAAGATGCAAATGCATAAGAGATCATTAGCCAAACACTGTGAACACACTGTGGGAATCAAGTGTGTGAGAGGCTACCCAGGTTGGTAACAGGCACTCTTGGCACGATCAGAGAACACTTATTGTAAACTATTTACAATAACTGGTGGATCAGAAAGGAAGTGTGGAGGGTATGTATACCCCTGGGTGTAAGACAGACAAAAATGTGTGGAGATCTACAGATTTCTGTCTTAGGATGAAGTACTCCAGAAAAGCAGGAGGCGAAACAACCTTTTGGATTTAGAACAGATTACATTAAACCCTGGAGGCTAAAGAGGCAGTTGTGGTGTACTGACAAGAACTCTGGCGTGCTGGTCTAGCTTTTAAAGACTGGACCTTGTTCTTCCTGCCTTGAACCATCTTTGTGATGCAGACCAGTCACTCCAACCTCCCAGGTCTATCTCTTTGTTTGAAAACTGTGTGTCAGATGCTTCGGGTTTGACAATCGTTTCAGCTCTGATGTTCTGTGACTCAACAGTAATAATGCATTTCCACAGGCGGTAAAAATATTCTAGACTCTTCCCTTCCAATGCTCACTGTTTACTTCCTCTGCACTTCCCCTTCCTGCCTCCCTGTTTGCTGGTCAGTTGATAGTGGGCCTCAATGGGGGTGAGTTAACCCACTCTTTCCAGGGTGTTTTACTATCGAGCTCCCTGCAGAGGGTGGGAATTCTATAGGGAGGGCTATGGTTGGGACTTCAATTTAATTCTTAAAACAATTCTTGAGCCATTAGTCTATTCTGGGCACCATGCCAGATTATCAGGGATTGGAAGGTGAATGCTAGGGCCCTAGCACTGGGGGTGTGGGGGGGGGCGGTTAAGGTTCAGTTTCACCGGGTCAGTCTCTTTGTAAACACCTGTGAACTCCACACGTCCCTCTTTCTTTCAGGCAGAAGCAGAATCCCATGGTAGCCAGGTGGGTGAAGGAGAGCAAGGACGTCCCACCTGCCCTGAAGAAGACGCCTTCTGACCTGCTGAGGGAGTGACAAGGTAGTAAAGAGTCTGAGGGCACAGGGTGTTGAGAGGGAGGGAAAAGGTGTTTACCCTTTAATGTGGTCCACCAGCCACTCTTTTCCACAGACGGTTACTAAAACCGAGACCTCCGCTCCAGAGGCTCTGGGTCTTGTTCCCCCTTTAAGACCACCAATCTTGGGTAGCTATTGGAGTCCTTACCTCCAACACCAGACATGCAGAAATGCAACAAAAGAGCTTTTAGTGGAAAGAGGGAAAAGATCCAGCTCATCCCAAGCCTGGCACATTGAATCTTTTAAAGAGAGGTTAGAACAGAAGCTTCATGGCATTGCTTTCGTGTAAACAGGGCCAAGTTTTCCAGAATCTGGCAGACAGCTGAGCTTGGAGCTTTGCTCTCATGCCCGCAGGACACTCGTGTGTCACTCACACTTGAAAAGTTAAGCCTCTGTTTTTATTTCCATGGATTGAATGGCATGCACTTTCCCCTAGCAGTTTGTCTCTCTCTTTGTAAAGTGCATGTGTTTACTTGTACATAAGCTGCATTTGTTTTTGGCGTTGCTCCTGCTCTGAGCTTGACTAGGCGTTCAGGCATGGCGGCATGGCGTTTTGTTCCCAAGCTTTCGTGGTGGGCACTTTCCTCTTAGTTTCTGAGAATTGCTGCTGAGGAGCTGATAAAGCCCATGCTCGTCAGGTATATCCTGGATTTTTCTTCTAAATTGACCTCCAAATAAGTGGTTAGGCTTCAACAAGAAAAACAAATTGTGAAGAGCTTAAGGTCCTTCTTTGCAATGAAAATGAAAAAGTAACTTTCCTTTCCAAGAAAAAAAAAATCATTTCAAAGGCCATTCAGTAAATGACACACTCTTAATAAAACAGGAAAATAAAAAAGTGCAACATCTCCTGCATCCCCAAGAAGCATTAGCCTCTGATGGATGGTTTCAGTTTCCTTGAAAGGGTTTGCCCAGAAGATTACTTCCAAAACTCCTATTGAGGTAATGCTGCTCTAACAGCAAAGATTATTGCATGAATCACAGACCACTGTATCCAGTTCCTTTTTAAATGGGGGATTTTTCCTTTATCCTTAAAATACTAAAGAGATGAAAAAAATGCCAACCAGGTAGAGTTACCCTGTAATCACTCACATTATCCTTTTCAAAGAATGCAGGGTTACTGATTTCAGTCACCAGGCAGGTAGTATAAGGGGATGTACAGCCTCACACCCAGCTTGTTCCCACCTATTGATGCAGGATGGAACATTCCCTGGGTCTCAGCGTGCAAGCCCAGCTTCTAGGTGGCTCTGTTCTGCCACAATGTCGGGTGCCTGTTCTTTATCTTTTTACAAGAGATTCCTATGTTGGTTCTAGTCAGTTCTAAAGCAGTGAGGCAGAAATTTCATGACACACCTAAATGTCATACCTAATATGACATTTTGATAACCAGCATATCAGCCAAGGTATTAATAATGTGTAATTATTTACTATGTGTTTGTTGTATTGGTTGGTTGATAACTTAGTCTTTTCCAATGTCATCAAGAACTAAGGGAGGTTATGGCTTCTAAATTATTCATGGGATTGGGCAGGAAATGAATTTCTGTTACAGAGAATGCCACACAAAAGGGTAAGCTTTTAAAGATTTTATAATATTACCAAAGTTTTAAAAATATGTATTAATGTTCAGGGCGCCTGGGTGGCTCAATTGGTTGAGCAACTGCCTTCGGCTCAGGTCATGATCTCAGGATCCTGGAATTGAGGTCCACATCAGGCTCTCTATTCGGGGAGCCTACTTCTCCCTCTCCCTCTGCCTGCCACTCTGCCTACTTGTGATCTCTCTCTCTGTGTCAAATAAATAAATAAAATCTTCTAAAAATACACATTAATATTCTCTATTGCGATATCAAAACTGTCTTATAGATGGTACATTTTAGTTATATTAGTACTGATCCTAAACTCAGTCAATTTATTTTTAAATTTTCTGAAACTGGAAATCTGTGCTATCCAGCTATACATAAATATTCATAATCCTCACTAGGGTAGATGCATGTGAGTGTGATCTCGCAACGAGAAGATTGGCATCATTTTTTGATCATAACACTTTGTTTTGGCACTTTCTAGCTATTATCTCATTCAACCATCACAAAAACCTGAGGAGTATGTTGTATTTCCATTTTACAGATTAGGGGCCTGAGATCCAGAGACGTTAAATAGTTTCCCCCAGGGCACACAGCAAATAAATTGGAGTCCGTGCTACTCACTTCTACTGTCTTCCACATATACTAGTAGGCTAGTCTTGCCTTCCAAATTCTCCTTTCTTATATATGCCTATATACATTCCTATATATTTCACGGGATTATCCTATTTCTGTTTTCTGGATGTTCTACCACATGTGACAGTAAGGAACATCTTTCTTTGCCATTTCCTTAGGTGGTCCTGATAGCCTGACAATGGACGCCATTCACATCAGCATGTCCAGTGCTCCCCTGGCGAAGCACACGGCAGGAGCCGGACTCAAGACCAACAGACCCCGGGTCATGTCCAAGAGTGGGCACAGCAACGTGAGAATCGACAAAGTGGATGGCATATACTTACTCTATCTTCAAGACTTGTGGACAACCGTCATTGACATGAAGTGGAGATACAAGCTCACCCTGTTTGCCGCCACATTTGTGATGACCTGGTTCCTTTTTGGAGTAATCTACTATGCCATTGCATTTATTCACGGTGATTTAGAACTAAGGGAGGACGTTTCAAATCACACTCCCTGCATCATGAAAGTGGACTCTCTCACTGGAGCGTTTCTTTTCTCCCTGGAATCCCAGACAACCATTGGCTATGGAGTCCGTTCCATCACGGAGGAATGCCCTCATGCTATTTTCCTGTTGGTTGCTCAACTGGTCATCACAACCTTGATTGAGATCTTCATCACAGGCACCTTTCTGGCCAAGATTGCCAGACCCAAAAAGCGGGCGGAGACCATCAAGTTCAGCCACTGCGCCGTCATCACCAAGCAGAATGGGAAGCTCTGCTTGGTGATTCAGGTGGCCAACATGAGGAAGAGCCTCCTGATTCAGTGCCAGCTCTCCGGCAAGCTCCTCCAGACCCATGTCACTAAGGAGGGGGAACGGATTCTTCTCAACCAAGCCACTGTCAAATTTCACGTGGACTCCTCTTCAGAGAGCCCCTTCCTCATTTTGCCCATGACATTCTATCATGTACTGGATGAGACAAGCCCCTTGAGAGATCTCACACCCCAAAACCTGAAGGAGAAGGAGTTCGAACTTGTGGTCCTCCTCAATGCCACTGTGGAATCCACCAGCGCAGTCTGCCAGAGCCGCACATCTTATATTCCAGAGGAGATCTACTGGGGCTTTGAGTTTGTGCCTGTGGTTTCTCTCTCAAAAAATGGAAAGTACGTGGCTGATTTCAGTCAGTTTGAACAGATCCGAAAGAGCCCGGATTGCACCTTCTACTGTGCGGATTCTGAGAAGCAGAAACTTGAGGAGAAGTATAGGCAGGAGGATCTGAGGGAAAGGGAACTAAGAACTCTTCTGTTACAACAGAGCAATGTCTGATGGTGGTGGTCGCCCTGGGTTTAACTCTGTGAGCTCTTTCCATGTCGGAGCTCCCTTTGAAGGCACAGGTCACTGTGCAAATGAGAATGTGTGGATTCTTTCTAAAAAACTATACGGACATACAAAATCCATTTTTTCCCTTTGATCTGACACTTAAGCATTTCCACGTTTGAGAAGGTTCCTTTTTAAAAGGCTTTGTCTGAAGCAAACTCTCAAAATTCCTACTTTCTAAAATGGGGCTATATTTTCAAAAACTTGGTGTAGGGCAATTAAAATAATGTCATGTCCAGTGGACAGACATTTAGCCATGCTGGTATTGAAAGGATATGCACTTCTATGCAGTATATCAGCTATAACTTAAGGTATTTATTCAAAACAATTTTCAAAGATGTTATGGCTGGAAGTTGAAATGTGAAATGTGAAATGTTGAAAGTTCATATCCTTTTATGTCATTTCTATACAATACCCTCTTTTCAAGCAGGGAAATGCTATCTTTAATGGAGGCTATCTGGTAACAGAGTCAAGGGGACTCTGTACTCACAAAAAAATATTTCCATTCTTACCTGTTTTTCATCAGATTTAATTGTACAGAGTGAAACTGAACAAATCAGGAGTTAATAGTTCTGAAAATATATATGAATGGAGTGGACTTTTTTGTTCATGGTAATTTTCTGTTTTCTATTCAAAACGTAGCATACAACCCAGCAGCATCAGCACCATCCAGGAGCTAATTAGCAGTATCGACTCCGAGGCCCCACCCAGACTTAGAGAACCAAATTCTGCATCTTCACGAAACCTCCAAGTCATTTGTACACAAATGAAAGCCTGGAAAGTGTCCATTCTGGAAGGTTTTCAAGGGAACTTTCTGAAGGCACAGCACCCTCTGGGTCCCAAACCCACATGGCCTCCAGACCTGTCCTTCTTTCTTCAGCTTATTATTATGGGCCAATATTGTTGTCAGCCACTTCATTCTTTGTCTGTTAAAATGCCTTGTTTGCCAAAGAACTGCCCCTGATACCCCAAGATTGAAAACAATTGCTTGAGAGTCATGGTTGTCTCACTCATGCTAAGCACATGTTTGTTGACTATAGTGAGCACAAAAGAAAAATGAAGCCATATTACAACTAGAAATTTGCTCAGATGTTGAAGTCCACAAGGTTGAACAGGGCCATAAGGACCAAGAAGAGCTGAGGAATTCATGTACTGATGACTCCTTGAAGCATGAACGAAGTTTGGTAATCTGATGATATGTAAAGAACACCCTCAGTATCTAAATAAATCTCATGCAACCGATTGGAACAGGGTAACGTTTTTGCTCTTGGCAGAACTTAGGGGCCAGGAGCCACATTTCTTTAGGGCGAAGAATATGCATGGGTGGGGATTGGCTGAATGTGTAAAGGGCGAATTCTCATTTCATTCAGACCAGGACAGACTTGTGTACTCACTCACGAAGAATGTGACTATAGGTGGGTAGGCACTGAATAGGTGTACTCGGGAGCCCACATACATGTACACACAGGCACGCACACACACATGCAGGCACTTCCTGGCTTTTCAAGCATAATTGTGGAAGTTGAAAGATGTTTGCAATTAAGAGAGCAAGTCCTCAACAAATATATTCACATATGTTTTATTCTATAAAAATGGGGATGCTGGGGCTCTGAGAAAAAGCAGAAATTAATCTGGATTCAGGTTATCAGTGAAAGAGGGTTTAGCTCAGTGGTAGAGCATTTGACTGCAGGTTCTCAGTGAAAGGATACTACGGATTATAGCTAACGTGGCCATATATTTAGGCTACCACAGTTTCAAATGTCCTTCCACGGAAGAGAAGGTGTGGCTGGAACCCGTGACCTGGACCCAAATGTCTAACACAAATGTCAAAACAACAGGAGTAGAGTTAGTTCTAGAGGCTTAAGGGGCAATTTCAAAGCAGGAGAAGCTTTTTCTTTTATTATTCAGGAATCTTTTCTCTCTTTCTGTTGATAATTTAATGGCAGATTATTTTAATTTCTTAAAGAAATTATGTTAGTTTAGTTAGACATTAGCTCTTTTAGGTATTATATGTGTTTTTTTATTGTATCTTGTGCTATAATGGACAGGAAAATAATGCCACAGGCATGTTTACAGGCTTTCTGTTGCGCTTTTAAATTCCTTACACAGGATTTACATCAGTGCTAATTTGAATGTGATCAAGATTAGGAATCTTGCATACTTACATTGCATTTGGCACACTGATGTAGTGTGAGATGGAGAAAGCTTTTGTTTATTCATTTAACATATCTACTTCAGCCAAATCTGGAGGACTTGATCATTTGATCTTTTGCACTATACACAAAACAAATATGCAGTATCTTAAAAGCCAATACTTGTACAAGTCAATAAATCATATTGTAATATAATATTCTGTAAATAGTCCTAAACCTGCATCTGGTTTGAAAGTTAGCATTTCCTTACTTATTATTTCTTTATACACAATACTCTTGTGTTAACATACTAACAAAAGATATTAGATGGCAAACATTTGATTATATCTGGAAGTCTTTTGACTGAAACAGACGCTTGCTCAACACCTAACTAAGAAGTAATCAACTAATGGAATATTGTTGACCCAAAAAGGCTTTTGCATTTTGAAACATCTCCAATGCATCAGGCCTTCTCAGGGAGACCATTCAAAAATGTCATGTTCCATTCAAAAAACCACAAAATAAATAGCAGCACATCAGTGTAATCGGCAAGCTGTGTCTTATTTCAATAAGAAAATGTATTATACGTGCATGGTACCTGGTAGTCAATGGTCCCAGACAGCGTAGTCAAGATTCACTCACTGATCCTCCCAAGAAGCCACCTTTGGAGTCTGGGTGCAGTCACATATTGTCGTTCTCTTTCTCACGCAGCGGGGGATTACAGTACCAGACAAGACTCCAGACATGTAAAATAACTGGTGAAAAGTGAAAAATGCCGTGAACAAGTGGACCAGATTTTGAGATGACTTTAAATGACGATTCATTAGATGTTTCTTTGAATTGAATTTTCTTTTTAAATTGATGGTGATTTTGATACCATTAAAAGTAAATTAAGATCTGAAGAAGTGACACTTTTGCTCCTGTATGACTCTCTCTCTTCCTTGGATCCTTAGCACTCGTATCATCTGGAGAAAGAAGGAAAGAGACGCAAAAAGCAGGGAATGCATGAGGCCTCTGCACTGGGAGCTCAGTAAACTATCATCCTACCTTTCGGGCTTGATTCTGTATTTTGTCACTACAGTCAAAGGGTCAGGCATTTGACCGTGGGCATGATGAAGACTGCTAACCTCTCAATCTCGGTTTTTCATTCTTTCTCGACTTCTCTTTGCCTGATAAACATTTGAAGAGAGTCATTTTGAATGTAGGCTATTTTATCCCATTCTGGGATGGTATTCTTTAAAATGAAATGTTAGCATTTCAAGTCCTGATTTCCATGTTCTGTGGTGCACACTTGAATCCCAGCATTTGATTCTGGATAAATCCAAGATGCACCTAGTTTTCGTCCTCCGGGAAGATATCCTTGAAAGTCTAAAGTTTAACATTTCACTCCTAATTGATTAACTGCCTACATTTAACCCTCTGTGAACTTCAGTTCATCTTTAGTCAGAATGGGTTGCCCACCCCTCCTTGGGCTTCTGGAGAGCAATTTTCTTAGCCTTTAAGAAACACTGTTGGCTTAAGTCCAATTTTTCCCCAAAGTTTTCCTCTGAATACTTACTGAGAAAGAAACAGGAGTCAGAAATAAGGCTTCAGCCAGTTCACTTCACCTTCATCCTCTGTTGGTTCTGCTGAGCTCAATTTCCTTTCTATTTAACATGTGCTTCCCTGTTTTTTCTTCATCTTTGTTATCTGCCCTATCAATCTAATTATCTTGTGGGTTAAAAAGAATTAAGTCAAATTGGTAATTTGGGAACATTTAGATAGCCAAAATTTGGGGACAGGGATTTTTATGTTTCAGTTGGTATGTTGCCGGTGTAGAAGAAATAGAAAACCAAGAAACAGCTAGTAATTGCAGTTAATTCCTAATTAAATTACAATAATTGATTGTGGAAGTCAAAGGACAGACTGATACAGGAGTACAAAAACCAAAGACGTCATGTGTGGAGGGAAAGCCATGTAACTCTGCATAGTAATGATAATACCAGAGTGAAGAACGCCAGGCATGCTGTGTCTACAGGATATGGCTTGTATTTAATGATTTTTGTCCTGCATCCTGTATGGACTTTATTAAGAAGCCGTAAATGTTCTGTATTCATCCCCCCCCACACACACAAATGACAAAATTGCACAGCTGATTAGTAAAATACTTCAAATTTAACCAAATGTCTTGTATTTTTATTTGTTAAATCTGACAGCCCTGCAGAGAGTACTCACGTAATCCCAAGCTATGCCCATCTCTAGAAGAGCAACAAACAGATGCCCCTTCCTTTGGAAGCAACAGTTTTCACACAAGTGGTAATAAAGAAGGGGGCTATTCTAGAAAGATACTCCGCTGGCTTGCCCCATTCATAAAGGTAAATTTCAGCAGAACACGGAGGGCCCCGATACATTCTGTGCAGTGCGGAACAGCATGTTCTTCAAGGCTGTCTATCAAAGAAGGGCCTCGAATGATGGGTTCAAAGTCCTTGGCCACAGGGTATACAGGAGTCCTGGCTTTCAACCCCTGCTGGAGAACCAGGCCCATGGTTAGGGTGGATTCCCAATGACCTCTGGGTAGGCAAAGTCAAAATTGGGGAAGTCAGCTGAAAAGTCCATCTCCAAGGTTTGCTTAGTGGCTCCTGCTTCATGATGGTTAACTTCACTTCACAAGGGCTCCGCTTCATTTAAAGCCAAACCATATCTAGAATCCAGGCCTCCCTACCCCCTTAAGATGCCCAGTTTCACCCCTCAAAAATACTCAAGTAAAGGCAGAATCCACTCAAAATTAGACTCCAAGGGAGCTACCACAATTGATTATAGAGTACATTTCCCTAAAATAATAATAATAATAATAATAATAACAATAGTAATAATAATAAAGTAACAGAAGTTGTTGACTCTGAGCTAGGAAATATGACCTCTTAGCTTATCATTACTATTATTGTTATTATTGCAAATGTCCTTAATATTATGGAAAAAAGTAAAAAGTTTC